AGCAGGACTTGCATTGCCTGTATGGTTTCTCTTGTGCTGGTTAGAGGTTTCCAATTTGTGTATCAGAATAGCACAGTTGGATTAGCAGTTAGGACTTGTCACCCTGGCTTCTGCCCTAGAGATTTACATTTCTGACTCTCCTAGCCAGTCACCACCCACAGTGCTGGGGTGGTGTGCTGGAATCTGTATAGGCAGCCCTGACTGGGAGTCCCGGTGCAGGCCCCTATGACAGACCCCTAGGACCAACACTGGACTGCTGACTGATCTATAGGTTCGTGCTGTGACACACGCTGTGTCACAGGTAGGCTAGTTTCCGAGACCGTTGCGAGACCGTTCCGGGTATATCTAGCTTAGGGTTTATTTATCTTGAGAGAGTTTATCCACACAGTTCGGGACACTCTGATATCTAGTGAACTAGGATATTCCGGTAGTCGCTCTGGACTGGTTGTTCGTCACCTCCAGACCGGGGACCTTGGCACAGATCTTCCGAAGGTGCTCGGACTTGAAGATTGAGGGGTTCAAAAGTAATTCCTTGCTAGGCAACACGAAGAAGTTAAGCCCAGTAAAGGCGTTCACCGCCAAGTCGGGGATAGTCAGCCTCTCCTCCGTCACGTGGTGGACTTCATCGCGGGACGCCTGCGGACGGAGAGGGAGGCTGGCCCCCCCCCGCAACATCCTCCGCCAAGGACGTTCTCTGCAGCACATTTCTTGCCGGAGGAGGAGAGTCAGCGCGTCCAGGGGCAGCTTGGTCACCAAACGACAATTCTTGCAACAAGGACGGTCCGGACGGCGACTCCGGCGTTTCAGCATTCTCTCGGGACCACCTTTCCCCCGCGTCGACCACCTCGTCACCGTCTTCAGATTCATTAAGACCCAACGAGCGAAAGATTGCGGGCTCCTCCCGCGGAGGGGAGACCCGCGGAGCCGAGGTCGCTGCATTCAACGCGGACGACACGTTGGGCACGGAATTCTCATCAAGCTGACGGGGCCGTGCGCTGCGGGAGGCGCGGGTCGCCCTCCGCAAATCAGAACTAGTAGCGATTGCTGCGAAACTCATGATTGTAAGAAGAAAACTTGCGTTAGGAAACGGAGAAGAAAGACGCAGCAATCGTCAGCAGGTAGGAAAAGTGAAGTATTTTCACCAATTTCCGACTTAAGAGCGACACTTTGCGACACTTGGACTTCGAAGCTGGAGGGTGAACAGCCACTTCGTGATTCTTCATTTCCGCGATCCGGGGAGTGAGATCAGACGATCCGTCTCCTGAATGACGGTCATCACTGATGACGGAAGGAAAGTCGGCGATCGACAGTGTGACAGACGCAGCCGACGCCGCTGCAGGGCCCTCCGTCGGATCGACCGCCCTAAACTGTGACACCGTAACCAAAATCCGTCGCGAGTCCAAAATGAGTCTCCACGGGGTAGAACAGTCCGATTTATTAACCGCCCTGAACTGTACTGTATAAATCGAATCCGTCTCGACCAAACGATTCGTTTCCAAAAATTCACAGACCTGAATTGTATAAATGTATAACTCAAATCCGTCACGACCATATATAAACCAACGTAACTAAACCAAAAACCGTCATAAAAATTTGACCGGACCAAAATCCTTTGCAGTCACCAATCAAACTCTTCGGTCACGTTTCGTTCGACCGATGAGTCTCCAGCTCCACCCAGTGTTCCCAACTTACGACATGACACAGTGTTAAGGCGCGATCGGACCAGTTCCCACCTGGGACTTGTCATCGGAGAATGATCGGAGATTCCCACTGTTAAGCTCCTGTTCTCGGTAAAAACCAGTAAAAACCGTCATTTTATGGGATAGTGCAAGAGCGATTGTGAATATATTATCCCGCGAAATCTGCAATATGCAGCCGCCACCGCTTCAAAAAAGCCTTGGGAAACTCAAACTAGGACTTCGCCACACCACCAGTCCTCGTGAAGCCATCCGATATACCCCTTCGATCCGGTGCTGCTCAGCGCGTTGCAGGCATTTTTCGTCGTTCGGATAGGCCTCTCAGTCCTTTACAAGACGTGAATATCAGGTAACAAACTGAGTGATGTTAATGTTTTCTCCGTTCCGGTGCATTATCAGATCTGCCGTTGCCGTTGCCGTAAGAATTGGAATAACACCTCATCAGTAAGAGTATCATCCGATCGCATGAACCTTGAAAACCGTTTCTGTATTTCAAAAGGGAAGGTGGCATAAAAATGTCAGCGACAGTGACAGCGGCCGTACGAGGTTTGTGATAAAATCGACAGGGACTTAAGTGAAGAAGAGCAAGATCCCGGGTTCGAAGATTTCGCGTCCACCTACGCTTGCGACCTGCACAATTCCTCCCTGCCGGTGCGCCAACTTGTTCGTGACCGCTTGTATGCCTGCACCACCCCGACGCATAATCGTGCCACACTACTGCAGACACAGACATAGACACAGACAGACCATGGAAAATGTATAAGGTTCGCGCCCCTGCGGATTTCTTTCCTGTCTTTTTCGCCGCCAACCCAGAAGCTCAAGCTTTATCACATTGGCCGAGACTCTTACTCTTCGCGGAACCCTCAAGGGACACGAGGGCTGGGTGACCAGCATTGCCTGTCCTCTTGATAACAGTGACATCATCTTGTCCTCCAGCTGTGACAAGTCTGTTATCTCGTGGACTTTCACCCGCCAGGAGGGTACCTACGGTGTCCCCCGCCGTGCGCTCACTGGTCACTCCCACTTCGTTCAGGACGTTGTCATCTCTTCCGATGGCCAGTTCGCTCTGTCCGCCTCTTGGGATGGCGCTCTTCGCCTGTGGGATCTGAACACCGGCACCACGACCCGCCGTTTCGTTGGGCACTCTAAGGACGTTCTCAGCGTCGCTTTCTCCATTGACAACCGCCAGATCGTGTGTGGTTCCCGTGATAAGACCATCAAGCTTTGGAACACTCTTGGTGAGTGCAAGTACACCATTGCTGACCCTGACGGTCACTCTGAGTGGGTCAGCTGCGTGCGCTTTTCCTCTCTAGTATCATAGCCGGGTATCGCACGAGATGGATATGCATTCCTGGATAATACTAGAGCTAGGCGATAGGGATTCATGTTACCAAACTCGCTTTCTATAGCTATTTTGAAAATGAATGCTCATCGCACTTGTGGAATATGAAATTTGTGCAATGGCATGTAATTCAGATCATGGATTTGAGTCCACGTGTGTCGCGACAAGAAGGTAACTCGATTTTTGGCGCCGGCATGGTATCATTAGTTACTCAAACTATCAATAATCAATTGATCACCCCATTTGCAATTGGTACCATGCATGCCTTGGCGATGGGTACACATACATATGAGTGTATCAAACTGCAACCATCCATTTTATGCCATGCAATGAATTACAGGTTGTTTTAGAGAGGTGTATTAGGAGTGATGAGAACAGAATGTGTTCTATGCTATGATATGTACTAAAACTAACGCCTTCGTCTTCTACGATCGCGTCTTATGGAATGGAAAATTGCTCTATATGCTGATGCTTTGTAGATGTGCATTATCAATTAGGTGATAATGCACATCTATAATGCACATAACTGATGAGGAGACGGAAGAACTGAGTTATGCTACCCTGTGTTATGTGACTAAGATTGTACCGAAACTTAATCGTTTTCCTATATGCTATCGTTCTTGTTATTTACTCCAGCTTATCATTTAATGCTATGTACAAGAATGGATGCTTATGCCAGAATTGAAATGGAGTGTGTGCTATCGTTGTGTTTGAGTTGACGCGTGTTTCACTTGAAAGCATGAACACTTTATGGTACAAGCAATAACTAGGTTATTAATCGATGAAAAGTAGTCCAGGTTTAACCTATTCCGAATTGACTATAGAAATGTTGATTGCGAATGAACTCCGAACGAGGTCGCACTTCAACAGATAAGTCATAGAGTTACCAAAATGTCCGGATAAATTTAAATAATGTACAAACTTGCCATGAACCTTTGAATCCATTAGACTTTCATTAGACTTTTTCGTGTAGCACGTTGTGCATTATAAAAATGTGTCGAAGCGATTCGTGTAAGACGTATATTTGGTTGATGTAAAAAAACTAGCTATTGTTTCGTATTATGCAAAATATAAATTACACGCATGCCTGGCGACCGCAGTGCAAGTATCGCAAGTAGAATTCAATGTTTATGCGACGCAACAACTAGATGAGAAACGACGGGTGCGTACGGGTGCAAACTTGGTTGGACAAAAATGTATGATCAAAATATTCCTTAACACCGTAAGGGCGAATTCGTTTTTAGCAGTATGGGATCAGTATGAGGGCGGAAACATCCATAACTACCACGGTAGTCAACTATTGGATATTTATGAAGTATTAGTGTCCATATTGGGGAGTTGGCGAGGTCCCTCAACCCTTCAATGCCCACCAAACTCGGTTTATCGAGTGGAGGACTTTGTGGAAAGTGCAGGGGTGTTCTGCTGCCAGGTGACAAAAGCGTACTCTGTGGAGAGTGCTCTAAAGGCTTCAAATCAAGGATATGGCATTTCCCCCCATTGGTATACACCATGATACGTCATCGCCCACTCATAACATCAAGCCAATAGTGGTGGCATGTTCATGTCGCATGCCCAAAAATGCCCCCAACAGCTGTTCAACAGAATTTCCTTAAGTATGGTGATGATGGGTCACATATATTCATGTGTGCACATACGGTGCGAGTGATAATGAAGTGTCATATCATCCACCCAGTTCCGCAATATAATATATGCGAAGAATCGTGGCAAATGGATGTCTAGAACTTGAGTTATTGCCGAAAACGTGAAAATAAGTTTCTGGAAAACAGGATCAGTATGAGCAGTATGGCAATTCGCCCTTAAGGTGTTAACAATATTATCACATCCGCCGCGGAAAAAAAATTGTATCGAGTAACCGTATGTCGAGCGTCGCGTCGATTCGCATGTCAGTCATGGGGAAACAGAAACTGTGACACCGCTAGACCAGAAGCCCGAAAAAGGTGAGCCAGGCCGGGATCGAGCCCGTGACGACCTCTCGCATACCGGACGAGCGCTCTGCCGTTGAGCTACTCTGGCTTTTGATGGCAATTCTGGTGCGGTAACTGAGTCCCCACAGTGCCACGTAGGCGGCGAAGAGTGACACACGAAGGAACGCTCTGTTTTTCCCCCAATCTGCCGTTGTCGGTACCCCGCTGGATCCGCGGGGCACGCGGCTGGTTCCGCCGCGACTGTTGGGGGAAATAATTGCGTTCCCCATGAGTCAGACTATATCTATATCTCTCAATCGTTTTTTACCCTCCATAGTCTATTTCTTAGGGTTTATATATATTTATAGCGGGTAACTTTCCCCCCCTCCCAGTACTCTACAATGAATAGCGTTATCGAGGAATCGGAACCGTGCAAATGAGGGCTCATGTTGAAATATAAATAATCACCGTTTGATATCCTAATTCTTCACGATCTTATCATCACTATCCAGGTGTTCATGTTCCTACGAAGCACAAGCACTACGTGATGGAAGAAGTGATATTGCTAACCACTAGAGCTATGGGGTCTAGGGCGTCCTCAATATCATAGCGGACACCGGAACTTCCGGTGTCCGCTATGATATTGAGGACGCCCTAGACCCCATAGCTCTAGTGGTTAGCGATATCACTTCTTCCATCATAAACTTCATCCGTTGGAGTGTTTTTCCACTTCCAGGTACGGGTTAGAAGAACCCGTAGGTTTTTGGTGGTGGAGATTACTCCGAGGGAAGATGTTTATGATGGAAGAAGTGATATTGCTAACCACTAGAGCTATGGGGTCTAGGGCGTCCTCAATATCATAGCGGACAGATGGTCTACACGGTTGTTTCCAACCTATACAACCGTGGCACCAGGGGTTCGACTCCCGGTGTCCGCTATGATATTGAGGACGCCCTAGACCCCATAGCTCTAGTGGTTAGCAATATCACTTCTTCCATCACTACGTACGAAGCAAAAGCTAGTACAGGGATTATTACGGGCTAGATACCTACCTCGGGACGGCAATAATGACTCCAAAAAATTTCCCGTCCACACATTTCGAGTCGCGGGAAAATTCTGGAAATTTTTTGTAATTTCTCAGTATATTTTTCTTAAATTTTCCTGACGTTTTTTGAGATTTTTTTGATGATTTTTTTTTTGGAGTGCGGACGGCCATACACTGTGAAGCGGTCAACTTTGGGCCCCTGCCGCTACATGATATGCATCGATGTAATCGCTCCCGAGGGTTTCTATTGGTCCTAGGGTGACCAAAGATCGACTTTTACCGCACGCGGGCAATTACATCGATGCATATCGAGGTGGGAAGTGGCCTGCTGTAAACCATGTCGTAAGTTGGGCCCATTGGCTCCACCCCGATTCGTGACCGAAAACCGCCTCGATCAAATCCATCGCCCTGAACTGTGATGTGATGTGATAAAAAACCGTCATGACCAGATACGAGGTATAGATACTATACTGTAGATGTAGGGCTCGGGCTCTAGAGACACAAATCGACCAATTCATGTCATCGATCATCATGAAAAGTCATCGCCATCCCAAAGAACCGACGAATAGAGAAGTCGCACGTCATAGAATATACCTTCCAAATCAACAAGGCATCGGTATGTGGCACACAAGCGAAAGCGAAAGTCCGTTCCCGTCGAGCGGAGGGTAAAACAATTTATTATGAGACTTTTCGGAGGGGTGAGGCGTTAGCGTTAGCGATTTTCAACAGGAGCAGCGTCGCACAACTGCGCTGCTAACCGCAAGCCGGAAATGTTCTGGCTCGCAGTTGTGAGAAATTGAAGGACCTCCCTATTTTCTTACAACTCTGATGCCGCAGCATGCGAAAGCTTCCAATATTTTATATTACGGAGGCCTCACTTGTGGCGAGAACACATGTTTTGGGAGGCGGGTGACGTACTCATTGCTAGTTTTATGGGCTGCCCAGCTCTCGTGGTCAGCCCCGCCACTTGCCATTCTTTCAATTTCTGGCGTATGCTGTCATTTATTCCCCCGTGCTGTCGCATTTTCAGCATAACTCCGTTAAACTGACTCCCTTTGCACGCTTCTCGTAGTGATATATTTCTGGCTTTTAATTTCCACTCTTTCCGACCTTCTCACCTTTATTTCATCCAATAGTATATTTGATACTTTGTGTATATCCTGAGCGTGCTTTCTGTAGTGACAAGTGCGTGAGCTAACGGGCGTCGCTTGTTGCGTCTGGAACTGGTGAGCAGCGGCGAAGAAGTGCCAGGACTCAACCGACCTGCGCGTGGTAGCAATATTCTGAAAACCTCAGTTGTTTCTAACAAGGTCAACGACATCAGATCTTCCGAGTCGTTGTCTCACACACGGGTATAGCCGACAAGCTTTGCATCTTCTCGGTATTCTGAAAGTCGTAAATACCTCTTTCTTGACGTATTTTCTCCCGCAGAGATAGTTTCGGGTAAAAGAGCGCGAGGGAAAGTGGAGCCGCTCACGCCCTACGAGTGCGCATACGTCGACCCTGCTAATTCTGATCACTGATTTTTACGCAGGCGAGCAATGAGTTAGACACTGCCACTGCTGAGGACCCAGCCGGCGCCCTCCATAGCGCGCCTCCTCTGATAAAGGGTCGACGGCTGCTTTGCGACGTCGGAAATGAGGAGTACGCCCAGTGCCTTGGGTACGAATATCTCGGCTTAGGGGAATGCGAGGAAGGGTTATACGCCACGGGGAACGCGACGGACAGTAATCTAACGGCTTGCGCGGCGCTGTGCACTGCCGAGGAGCGCTGCCAGTATTTTGCATTTGAGGAACGTAGCACATGCAGTCGCTATGAGGATGGACCGAATGGCTGCTCCTCCTCGGTGTCCGTTACTACCCACTTGCTTTACAAGAAGGCGTTTAACTCCTCTACGACTGCACCAGCTGGCGCCGAGGCTTCGCCGCCACCTTCGTATCTGTCACCTCCTGAGCCCCCTTCCCGAAACCGCCCCCCGCCTCTGTCTCCCCCGCTGCCTTCCTCTCCCCTTCCAGCATCTCCTCCACCACCATTTCCTTCTCCTCCCTCGCCCGCTTCTTCTCCCCCGCCGCTGCCCCACCCGCCTCCTCCCCCCCGAGTGCATATTACTGACGTGGACTCCTCGGACGTCCTGTCTTGGACGGGCTCGGCCGCCAGCACATGCCTCACGGCGGCGTTCAAGAACCCCATCACGTCGGCGCGCGTCGTTGCCATCCCAGGTAAGCTGCATATATAGCAGGCACTGTGCATCATCCTGCTTGAACAGGTGGCTTCTGCTGGGCGGCGCGTTTTGAGCTGCGATAGGTGCACGGCAGACATCATTCGACTCGTGGGTTTGGATAGAGAAGCAACTCAAAAGCTGACCCGCCGAAGTGCCACCTCGCGTCGAATCAGGACAAAGCTGACCCGCCGAAGTGCCACCTCGCGTCGAATCAGGACAAAGCTGACCCGCCGAAGTGCCACTCGCGTCGAATCAGGACAAAGCTGACCCGCCGAAGTGCCACCTCGCGTCGAATCAGGACAAAGCTGACCCGCCGAAGTGCCACCTCGCGTCGAATCAGGACAAAGCTGACCCGCCGAAGTGCCACCTCGCGTAGAATCAGGACAAAGCTGACCCGCCGAAGTGCCACCTCGCGTCGAATCAGGACAAAGCTGACCCGCCGAAGTGCCACCTCGCGTCGAATCAGGACAAAGCTGACCCGCCGAAGTGCCGCCTCGCGTCGAATCAGGACAAAGCTGACCTGCCGAAGTGCCGCCTCGCGTCGAATCAGGACAAAGCTGACCCGCCGAAGTGCCACGTCGCGTCGAATCAGGACAAAGCTGACCCGCCGAAGTGCCACCTCGCGTCGAATCAGACAAAGCTGACCCGCCGAAGTGCCACGTCGCGTCGAATCAGGACAAAGCTGACCCGCCGAAGTGCCGCCTCGCGTCGAATCAGGACAAAGCTGACCCGCCGAAGTGCCACCTCGCGTCGAATCAGGACAAAGAGTTGATGCGCAAACATAGCGGCGTTCGTCGGACCGAGATATTTTCTAGTCACCAGTAGCTTTGCGTGAGCCATCGGTCGGGGTGGAGCCCTTCAACACCGCTCGAACCGAACGTTGGCAACACAGCGCTGCATACGAGCTGAAGTCTCTTTATGGGGAAACCCTTCTTGCACCAAATTCAGCTTCTGCGATGGGGAGGGGGGTGGGGGTGGGGGGGCGCTTGGGACCGCTTTCTTCAGAAGGAGACCTCAGTCTTGGTGGTGCGTTGGCTTTGACCTTTCCGTTGCCCCGCCTTGCTCTGCGGTGTCCGAAACGCAGTCAAAGATCTATCCCGTATGTGCTCGTACCCGAACCTTCCGGAAGGTCTGCTGAATTTGTCGAGTCAACGTGCCATTAGCGTTAGCTTGCCATACGGTAGCACGCCCCGCCGTCCCGTCCAATCTGATACGACCCTTGTGCTGTCTGGCCTCGATCAGGCTCATCGAGTTCATCTAATTGCCCTAAACCCTAAAAGCCAGTAGAGGGTACAGCGCAGTTGACAACGTACATGAAATTCCTGTTGCATTCCTGTTGTCAGGTTGATGACATCGTCCTTGTTCTGCAGCAGCAATGCATCAATGCAGCGTCAATGTTCTGCAGCAGTGAGAACTTTCCAGGGCCTTCACGACAGGTTGCTTTCGAAATTGTTTTCATTGTGGGATGTTCTGGGGACTTGGAGCTTGCTGGGGTACAGGGTACTTCAGTGCCCAACTTGCCATCGATCTGAAGACGGATGGACCCGTTGCGCTTCACAGCGCGGATCTAGACGGAGATGGGGACCTTGACGTGCTTTCAGCAGCCTTCAAGGAGAGCACGCTCGCATGGTACCCCAATGAGGATGGAGGCGTTTTTGGTAGCAGGCAGGTCATCTCCAGCGGCGCCTATGGGGTTTGGTCTGTGGTGACTGCAGATGTTGACAGCGATGGAGATGAGGATGTCTTGGCCGCCTTTGCTGACGGGAACCGAGTTGTCTGGTTTCGAAATGACGGCGAAGCGCGCTTCAGCAGTGAGCAGAACATCACCACAGCCGTGGTTGCG